GTTGATGTAAGTTTTTTCTTGATTTGTTTTCCTTTTTATTATGAAAATTTACAAACATATATAAAAGTAGAGAAAATAATACAATGAACTTTTATGTATTATCACCCAGCTTCAAAAATTATCTATGCATGGCCAAACTTATTTCTCGTTATTCCTACCACTCTCCCATGACCATTGTCAATGGATGGATTATTCTGAAGCAAATCCCAGACATTGTGTAATTTCATCCCTAAATATTTCAGTATGTATCTCTGAATGGTAATGACTCACAAACAAAACAAAACAATGGTACCATTATTTTCTAAAATAATTTACAAGAGATCTTTAATATAATCACATCACATTTTTCAGTTTTCCCAGATTTTATCATACAGTTTTGTTTATCTTACAGTTTGTTTCAGCCAGAATCTAATCAAGGCCCATTTGTTGCATTTGGTTGATGTCTCTTCAGTCTTTTTTAATATATAATTATCTTTCCATATCTCTTTTTTTCCCCTTGCAAATTATTTCTTGAAGATACTGGACAATTGGTACCTGGTTTCTCATTTTCCAGATTTTGCTGATTGCACCCTTGTGGTGAATTTAAAAAGTTCTTCTTTACTTCCTTTAACCTGGTAGTTATATCTGGTGCATGTAGCTTTGATTAAAAAAAAAATAAGACTCTATAGTACATGGAGGTCACTACAGTACATGATGTCATGTACTTCCATCAAAATTCACATAATACTAATTCTCTTTTTTTGGATCAGCCATTGATGACCACTACCTAGGTTTATTATTTCATTCAGAGTTGCCATCTTAACATTCTGATTCATTTATTAGCTGGAATGTGTCTTTAAAGAAAAACTGTTATCACTGGTTTGCAGGGCAGAAATAGAGACACAGATGTAGAGAACAAACGTATGGACACCAAAGGAGAAAAGTGTGGGGGGATGGTGGTGGTGGGATGAATTGGTAGATTGGGATTGAAATATATACACTAATATGTGTAAAATGGATAATTAATAAGAACCTGCTGTATAAAAAAATAAATAAAATTCAAAAAAGAAAAACTATTATCAACTATTTGGTTACACTGAGGTATAGTTCAGATAGGAAATCAAAGTAACTGATTGATTCTTTCCTTACATTTATCAGTTTTCAAAATAAGAAATTAGGTTCCTTAGCATCCTCCAAAACAGTGGTCAATGGATTTTATTTGTTTAGTATCATTATCAAATCATAAATTTAAATATTCTTGATTTGTTTCAGTCTATTGCATTATTAATTAATTCTCAAATCATCCCATCTCAAGCTAGTTGGACACTTTTCAGGCTTTTGAGTTCTTTTAACATGACTCTAGTAGTTCTGGATAGCTTCCAGGTGTGACAAGTTTCCAGGCGTATTTTGTTAATTTCTTGTTCCAGATCTACAATCCACCATTTTACTAAGAAATCCTAATTCTTTTAGTGAGATTAATCATTAAAATAGTATTAAGAAACTACAAACTGAGTTTTAGAGATGCTTATTGTCACTAGATTCATCCTTGTTTTTAGAACTTTTCAATGGACAGAGCTAGGAAAAAAATTTAAGAGAAAATACATCTTTAGCTTGTACTGATATTCCCATTCAGATTTAAAATAATATGGCATTACTGATTTTATTTTTGTTATCTTTTTCTCTCACAGAAAATCTCTGTTTCTAATGAGATTAACATAATTACTTACTTGCTTTATCCTATTATTTATATAATGTATCTTATATAATATATAGGGTTTTATGTCATATTATATTGTATTATAGTACATTATATTATAGTATGTTAGATTATAGTTTTGGAAAAATATAAAATAACTAGAAATATGATAGCTGAAACAATTATCTTCTTTGTAGTTTCTGTCCTTAGAGTACATATCTCTTGGAATATGCAATCAAATTACTATGTTTTAAAATTATTTGAAATAATTTCTTGTGCCACCAACTCTATACACAACAAAGTTTATTGCATTTTTAATGTATTGTTTTTTAAAAATTTAATTTTGTCTAATTATTATGTAAAACATTTGAATAGATTTTAAATCAGATCTTCAAAACGAGATTTATTCTAACTTCCATTCCTGTCCCTTCTATTCTTTTCCTAATCTATAGTTAATCTTTTGTTTTTAAATTTTTGATTTATGCTTCCAATGTTGTGTTTTAAAAATATAATCTAATATTTATCCTTATGTGTATCCCCTCACTCCTTCTCAAGCAAGTTTTAAGATACTGTACATATTCTTATATTCCTTGCTTACTTTATTTAATAATATATTCTGGAGATCATTATAAACAGTACATAGAAATGTTCATCTTTTTAAAAGATGTGTATTTTAAGGTAAAATACACAAAACATAAAATTTACCATATTAACCATTTTTAGTTATAGAGTTCAGTGGTATTAAGTACATTCATACTGTGTGCAACCCTCATCACCCAGAGAACCCTTTTCATCTTGCAAAACCAAAACTCTATACCCATTAAACAATAACTCCCCATTCCCCCCTCCTCCAGCCCCTGACACCCACCATTCTACATTCTGTCTCTATGACTCTGACTACCCTAGGTACCACATGTAAGTGGAATTATACCATATTTGTGCTTTTGTGACTGGTTTGTTTCACTTAGTATAATGTCTTCAAGGTTCATTTATGTTGGAGCATATGTCAGAATGTTCTCCCTTTTTAAGCCTAAATAATATTCCATTGTATGTATATACCACATATTATTTAACAATTCACCCATTGGTGGACATTTAAGTTGCTTCCACATTTTGGCTACTGCAGGTATGAACATAGTTGTACAGATATTTCATCTTTCTTTTTGAAAACTCTATGTTATTTCAGTTAGTTGGATGTACCATAGTTTGTTCAACTAGTCCCCTATGAGTTAACATTTGGGTAGTTTCCAATTTTTTTGCAATTATAAATAATGCTGTAACAAATAGCCTTATGCATATGTCATTTCAAATTTTTGAATCTAATCTTTAAAATAGATTCCTAGAAGAGATATTGCTGCATCACAAAGTAAATGCCAAATTCTCCCCTACATCAGTTACACAATTTTATATTCCCACTAACAACGTATGAGAGTGCTTACTTCCCCACAGCTTCACCAAGAGTGTACCGTGTCAAACTTTTAGATTTGTTCAAATATCATAGGTGGAAATTGTAAGTTGGTATGTTTTTTCTATTGTAATGAATAAGTGGAGCATATTTTTATGTATATGCCTCACTTGTCTATTCTTTGTCTATTTTTCTATCTAGATTACTCTTTTCTAATGTTTTAAAAAGCTCTTTATATATTAGGAATATAAAAATACATACACACGTGTATAAATAATTAGGAATATGCATTAGGAATATTAGTCCTTTGTGATAGAAGTTCCAAATATTATTTCCCAGTTTCTTATTTATGTTTTCATTTTGTGTATGGTCATTTTTACCATGGCAATTCTAACTTCTGAGCAGCTGGGTGTAGATGAGGTTCAACAGTTTATCAGAAACTACTCTTGGGTATAATCACAAATATTCTTCAGGCTCCACTCAGGGAATCCAATAGTATTTCATGTTCTCATTTATCTAAAAATAGCTAGGTGTTTTAACTTCTCCAAGATTTTAATAAAAAGGGTAAGTTTGGGGTCATATCAAGAGGTCACAAAATTGTTCACTTTTTCTGGCTAATTATTATTTCAACATTTTTACATTATGTAATCTTAACTAGATTTTCCAATGTCAGTTAATAAAATTTCAGCTTTTTGTTTTTACAGGTTTTTTTTTAAGCTTCTTTTCTTGCTCTGGTGACATCACTTGGTTAACTTTTTTCTTGCTGCTCTAATTGTTGTTTTAAAAATCTAAATAAGGAAAATATATCATCAGACTATTTTTTTTACAGGATATTCTCTGAATTTCAAAATTGTAAGTAGACTGAAAGGAACCAATCTTATATTCCACACAGATAAAAAGAAGTGTTCCCTGACAAGTTTTTAACAATAGATCCTCAGAGTCACAGAACCAGAGCCCTTAACCTGGGATCCTTGGATAATCTGTTCATAGGTGGACTTCCAGGGATCTAAAAAGCCTCTGCAATTACATACAAAACTTCTCTTCTGAAGAGAGCATGGTTCATAAGTTTTTCTTTCTCAACATTTTATTATGAAAAATTTCAAAAATATAGAACAGTTGACAGTGTTACCCTCCACTTAAAATTTACTCTTAACATTTTGCAATATTTGCCTCATTGCAGATGTATTCATGTATCCATCCTCAATTCACCCTTCAATCCACCTTATTTTAAAAATGTATTTCAAAGTAAGATGAAGATATCAGTACATATCACCCTTAAACACTTCAGTATATATATCTTTAACTAGAGTTCACTCTTTGTTTATGGTGTTGTGTTTTTAGTGAAATTTACAAATAATAAATGCACAGAATTTAAGTATGCTATTCAATGAATTTGAATAAGAATATACACATCCAAACCCTTATCAAGATTAAAAAAAAACACTTTGATGCCCCTGCCCATCAATACTTGCCCCTCACTGAAAGACAACTACTGTTCTAATATTTTTCACCATAGATTTGTTTTTCCTTGTTCTAGAATGTCATGTAAGTGAAATCATACAGTATATATTTAAAGTTTATTTAATATGTTTTTTAGATTTGTCTATGTCACTGTATATATCAATAGCACTTTTTATTGAACACCTACTATGTGTCGAGCACTATTCTTAGCATTCAGAATGCAAAGTTTAATGAGGTATGGTACCTGCACTACTGCATTATAGGATTGTAGCAGAGAACTTGGAGGGTTGAGCCAGGGTGCAGGGGTGAAAGAAGAGGAGGTTCCTGATGAAGATAGTTGCTGAATTAGTTCTTTAAGAACAATCAAGAGTTAGCTTGGCCCAGAAAGGGAGTTTCTAAGGGGAGGTGAGAAGACAAAGTGAATCCCAAGGGGAGGAGTAACGTGGAAAAAATGTCACAGTGCTTGCTTGACAGCACATATACTAAAATTGGACTGATACAGAGAAGACTAGAATGGCCCCTGCAGAAGGATGACATGCAAATTCATAAAGTGTTCCATATTTTTCACAGAATACACATTCTTTTCAAGTGCACATGGAACATTCTCTAGGACTGACCACATACTAGGGCACAAAACAAGCCTCAACAAATTTAAGAGTATAGAAGTTATCTTAAACATCTTCTCTGACCACAACAGCATGAAACTAGAAATTAACAACAGAAAAAGAAATGAGAAAAAAGCAATTACATGGAAGCTAAACAAAATGCTACTAAAAAACCAATGGGTCAATGATGAAATCAAAGAGGAAATTAAAAAATACGTTGAGACAAATAACAATGAAATCTCAACCATACAAATCTATGGGATGCAGCAAAAAGAGTTATAAGAGGGAAGTTCAGAGTAATTCAGGCCTTCCTCAAAAAAACAAGAAAAATCTAAAACCACCTAACATACCATTTAAAAGAACTAGATAAAGAAGAACAAATAAAACCTAAAGTCAGCAAAAGGAAGGAAATAATAAAGATCAGAAAGGAAATAAATAAAATAGAGACTAAAAAAACCCAGAAAAAGTCTATAGAACCAAGAACTGGTTCTTTGAAAGGATAAACAAGATTGACAAACCTCTGGCCAGACTCACCAAGAAAAAAAGAGAGAGAACACAGATATACAAAATAAATATAAAAAACCATAAGGGAATACTACAAATAATTGTATGTCAACAAATTCAACAACCTAGAAGAAATGGATAAGCTTCTAGAAGCATACAGTCCACCAAAACTGAATCAAGAATAAATAGATAGGGACTTCCCTGGTGGCTCAGTTGTTAAGAATCCACCTGCCAATGCAGGGGACGTCAGTTTGATCCCTGGTCCAGGAAGATCCCACATGCCATAGAGCAACTAAGCCTGTGTACCACAACTACTGAGACCATGCACTGCAACTACTGAAACCCATGTGCTCTAGGGCCCATGTGCCACAACTACTGAAGCCCACATGCCTAGAGTCCATGCTCCACAACAAGAGAAGCCACCACAATGAGAAACCCATGCACCACAATGAAGAGTAGCCCTCACTCACCACAACTAGAGAAAGCCCACATGCAGCAACAAAGACCCAATGTAGCCAAAAAATAAATAAAAATTTTTAAAAAGAATAAATAGATAATTTGAACAGACTGATCCCTGCAACTGAAATAGAATCTGTAATTTTAAAATTCACTACAAACAAAAGTCCAGGACCAGATGACTTCACAGGTGAATTCTACCAAACATACAAAGGAGAACTTATACCAATCCTTCTCAAATTCTTCCAAAAAAATTGAAGAGGAGGGAACACTCCCAAGGACATTCTATGAAGCCACCATCACCCTGATACCAAAATCAGACAAAGACACCACCAAAAAGGAAAATTACAGGCTAATATCTTTGATGAATGCAAATATTCTCAACAAAATATTAGCAAACTGAATCCAACAACACATAAAAAAGATCATACACCACAACCAAGTGGAATTCATCCCAAGTTCACAAGGATGGTTCAACATACACAATTCAATCAATGTAATACACTACATCAACAAAATAAAACACAAAAACCACATGATCATCTCAATAGATGCAGAAAAAGCCTTTGACAAAATTCAACATCTATTCATGATTAAAACTCTTACCAAAGTGGGTATAGAGGGAACATATCTCAAAATAGTGAAAGCTATTTATGACAAACCCACAGCCAATATAATACTCAGCGGTGAAAAGTTGAAAGCCTTCCCACTAAAATCTGGAACAAGACAAGGATGCCCACTCTCACCACTGCTCTTCAGTATAGTATTGGAAGTCCTAGCCACAGCAATCATACAAGAAAAAAAAATGTGTCCAAACTGGAAGGAAAAAGTTACAATTGTCATTATATGTAGATGATAAGGATACAAGATTAACATACAGAAATCAGTTGCATTTCTTTACACCAACAATGAAATATTAAAAAGGGAATGTTAAAAAAACAATGTCTTTAAAATCACAACACAAAAAATAAAATACTTAGGAATAAACCTCACTAAGTAGGTGTAAGATTTATACGCTGAGTACTATAAAACATTAATAAAGGAAATAAAAGAGGATTCAGAGAAATGGAAAGATATTCCATGTTCTTGGATTGAAAGAATTAATATTGTTAAAATGGCCATACTACCCAAAGCAATTTATAGATTTAATGTTATCCCTATCAAATTACCCACGACATGTTTCACAGAACTAGAACAAATAATCCTAAAATTCATATCATACCATAAAAGACCCAGAATAGCCAAAGCAATCCTGAAGAAAAAGAATAAAGCAGGAGGCATAACCATCCAAGACTTCAGACAATACTACAATGTTACAGTAATCAAAACAAAGTGCTATTGGCAGAAAAACAGACATATGGATCAGTGGAACAGAATAGAGAGCCCAGAAATAAACCCACTCACCTACGGTCAATTAATCTTCAACAAAGAAGGCAAGAACATACAATGGATAAAGATAGTCTCTTCAGCAAGTGGTGTTGGGAAAGTTGGACAGCCACATGTAAATCAATGAACTTAGAACACACGCTCTCACCATACACAAAAATAAACTCAAAATGGCTTAAAGACTTAAACATATAAGACATGACACCATAAAGCTCCTAGAAGAGAACATAAGAAAAACATTTTCTGACATAAATCATAACAATGTTTTCTTAGGTCAGTCTCCCAAGGCAACAGAAAAAAAAATGAAAGTAAACTAATGGGACCTAATCAAACTTACAAGCTTTTGCACAGCAAAGGAAACCACAAACAAAATGAAAAGACAACCTACAGAATAGGAGAAAGTATCTGAAAATGATGAAACTGACAAGGTCTTAATTCCCAAAATATACAAACAGCTCATACAGGTCAATATAAAAAAAGAAATCAAAAAATGGGTAGAAGACTTTAATAGACATTTCTCCAAAGAAGACATACAAATGGCCAATAGGCACATGAAAAGATGCTCAACATTGCTAATTATTAGAGAAATGCAAATCAAAACTACAATGAGGTACCACCTCATGCCAGTCAGAATGGCCATCATTAAAAAATCTACAAAAAACAAATGCTGGAGAGGGTGTGGAGAAAAGGGAACCCTCCTACAATGTTGGTGGGAATGTAAGTTGGTACAGCCACTGTGGAAAACAGTATGGAGTTTCCTCAGAAAACTGAGAATAGAATTACCATATGATCCAGCAAACCCAGTCTTGGGCATATATCCAGACAAAACTATAATTCAAAAAGATACATGCACTCCAATGTTCATTGCAGCACTGTTTACAAGAGCCAAGACATGGAAACAACCTAAATGTCCATTGACAGATGAATGGATAAAGAAGATGTGGTACATATATACAATGGAATATTACTCAGCCATTAAAAAGAATGAAGTAATGCCTTTTGCAGCAACATAGATGCAACTAGAGATTATCATACTAAGTGAAGTAAGTCAGAAAAAGACAAATACCATATGACATCACTTATATGTGGAATCTATAATGACACAAATGAAACTTTGTATGAAACAGAAACATAATCAGGGGCATAGAAACTAGACTGGTGGTTGCCAAGGGAAAGGGGAGTGGGAGAGGGTTGGGTGGGAGTTTGGGATTAGCAGATGCATTCTATATTATATATAGAATGTATAAAAAACAAGGTCCTACTGTATAGCACAGGGAACTATACTCAATATCCTGTGATAAACCACAATGGAAAAGAATATGAAAAAGAATGGAAAAGAATATGAAAAAGAATATATATATATATATATATATATCACTTTGCTGTACACCAGAAACTAATACAACATTGTAAATCAACTATACTTCATTTTTTTAAAAAAGCCCTAAAGAAAGACAAAGAAAGATCAATGCAAGAAGAGGATATCACACTCAATATATATGCACCCAGTATAGGAGCACCTAAATACATAAAACAAATACTAACAGAGATAAAGGGAGAAATTGACAGGAATACAATAATAGTAGTTGACTTTAATGCTGACTTCAATGGACAGATCTTCCAGAAAGAAAATCAGTAAGCAGCAAAGACCCTAAAGTGTACAGTCCCTTTGCTGTACAGCAGTAATTAACACAACATTGTAATTCAACTATACTTCAATAAAAATATAAATTTAAAAAATCACAGAGGTAAGAAATTGCATGGTTTTCTAGGGATAGCTACAAGTATTTCAGTGTGCCTGAAATAAGTGGTAGAAGATGGAGACAGACAGAGAGGTAGAGCCTGGATCATTCTCAGTGTTATTAAGGAGATTGAATATCCTATAAGAAATGGAAAACAATTGAAAGGCTTTAAATGAGAAAAGTCATGATCAGATTTGTGTTGTGGTAGCAGATTTGATGCTGCTTTAATGGCAGATTCAAATGGACAAGACTAAAGGCAGAAGATTCAGGTAATAAGGTACCATTTTAGTTAAAAGATATAAGACCATGATAGTGGGGATGGTAGAAGGAGAGGTTTCCAAAAATATTTAGGTGATAAAAGTAGCAGAACTTGCAATTGATTAGTTAGTGATGGATACCATGCAGTCAGGAGAAGGTCCTGAGAGAAAAAAAGGAATCAATACAGCTCCAAGATTTCTAACTTGCATGATGAATTAGGAAGTGGTGCTACCCAATAAGATATAGAATAGAATGAAGGAAAATGCTTAAAGAAAGTGATAAGTTAGACATATTAACTTTGAGATACTTGTAAAATTTCTAAGTAATTAGATATATAAGCCTGAAGCTTGTGGGAGAGGACTGGACTAGATTATTAGGTCATTAACGTAAGAGGATGATTATTAAAACATAAGAGGAGGGCTTCCCTGGTGGCGCAGTGGTTGAGAGTCCGCCTGCCGATGCAGGGGACGCGGGTTCGTGCCCCGGTCCGGGAAGATTCCACATGCCGCGGGGCGGCTGGGCCCGTGAGCCATGGCTGCTGAGCCTGCTGCATCCGGAGCCTGTGCTCCGCAACGGGAGAGGCCGCAACAGTGAGAGGCCCACGTATCGCAACA